GGTTGATTCCATGTCTTTGCTAATGTGCCCATTCTAGCTTCTAGAAGCAGCCTTCCTTCTTTGGCTCTTGGCCTCCTTCTGTCTTCAAAACCAGCAAAGGCTGGCTGAGTCTCTCACATGGAATCTATCACTCTAACACACTCTCTTTCTCTCTCTGACTCTAACTCCTCTGCCTCTACTTTTCATCTTTAAGGACCCTGTGAATACATTGGACTCATCTGAGTAATCCAATAAATTCTCCTCCTTTTAAAGTCAGCTAATTAGCAACCTTAATTCCCCCTTTTTATGTAATTGTGAAAGTTGTTAAGAATCATAATGGAGTCACTTGTGTTAAAAATTTAAAAAAAAGGTCCAGGTGCAGTCACTCACGCCTGTAATCCCAGTACTTTGGGAGGCTGGGGTAGGTGGATCACCTGAGGTCAGGAGTTCGAGACCAGACGGACCAATATGGTGAAACCCTGTCTGTACTAAAAATACAAAATTAGCCGGGCATGGTGGTGCCTGCCTATAATCCCAGCTACTTGAGAGGCTAAGGCAGGAGAATCGCTTGAACTGAGGAGGCAGAGGTTGCAGTGAGCCAAGACCGCACCATTGCATTCCAGCCCAGGCAACAAGAGCAAAACTCTGTATCAAAAAAAGGAAAAGAAACCTTGACAAATAGAGCTGGGGAAGGCCATGAGAGAGCTTTCATGCATAAATGCCAGATAACAAAAACTATCACAAAAGACTCTGCCAAAACAACAACCTTGCACAAAGGCCGTTGCACCCTTACACAAAAAATATATTTGCAAGGTCATCTGCCCAGCAACTGCCTGGCCAGCCGCTGACTGGCATCACTCTTGTTATTAATACTTGTAGACAAGGATAATTATCACAAAACAATTATGTAATCCTCCTAATTTTTCCATTAAAAACCTTTGTCTTCCTTCACCTCCTTGAATATGCACATAGTTTACTATGGCATATGTATTTCCACTGCAGTGCCCTATGCGCGAATAAATATTTTCTTTTAGAGAGCCTCTGTTATTTAAACATACAACATAACATATTCATAAATTCTGGGTATTAGAAAGTAACATATTTGGGGGGGCCATTAGTCTGCATACCATATCCATTGACTACACAGGATAGTGCGTTGTAACACAGTATAGGAAATATGTTGAGTGCACATTTATTTTGTTTCCCTAGTATATTTTCATCCAAGCGTTGTTGCATCATTCTCACCTCCATCTCCTATAGAGCATGTCTTTTCACCCCTTTTGCTTCCAGTGACTCTACCAATCACACAACTCTACCCCTTATGAACACAGCAGGCAGCATGGGCAAAAATAATAACACATCACTCCAGACCCAGTAGTGGTCCAAGCAGATCAACTAGAGTCCTTCTCTGAGAATTGAGATGGATGGGCAGCTTCCTCTTTCTCCTTGGATCATGAGTCATAAGGCTGTGAACCCAGAGATGTTGGTGGTCATATGTCTATATATACACACTACTCTCCAACAACGTATGGTGAAGCTGAAGAGACCGAAGCCAGCAGACAGGCAGAAAGCTGGACCACAACTGAGAAGCGGAGATGGGGCACTTTTACTATTCAAACCTCACAATTCTGTTGACCCTGCAGCTGGCTCCACCACTACGTGTCAGAGGCTGCCTCTGTGAGACAATAATTTCTGCTACTTTGCTTAGGCTAGCTCGAGTTAGAATTTCAGTTGACTCTTGAACAACATGGGTTTGAACTGTGCTGGTGAGATTTTTTTTTTAAACCAACCACAGATCAAAGTTGCTATACTCCCAGGATGCTAAACCCACAAATAGTGAGGCAGAACTTTCCTACACTCAAGTTCAGCAGGACAGACTGCAGGACTTGAGTATATGCAGATTTTGGTACATTGTCATCTGCCTTAATTGGTCCTGGAGCCAATCTCCTGAGTATACTGAGGGACAACTGCATATCACTTGGCACAAAAAAGCCTTAAAATAAACACTTAAATTGAAGCATTGCCTGCTTCCTGAGTATCAATTTCGTTTTCTACATTACACCATAATGCTCATGAGATCAGAGTTTATGCCATAGTTCTATGGATTTCTTCCTATGCATGTGATAGTACTAGGCTTACTGTAAGAGCTCCAAAAATATTTTACAACATATGCTCTACTTATATGTCATTACATAAAAATAAAACAAAATTATACTCATGCATTTTTAATATTAGCATTTTTTACTCTATTCATAACATCTGTGTTTTCCAACTGCGAAGTTTGTGTAAGTGATCTCTTGTAAGATGGAGGTCTGAAACATAAACAGTTTATCACATGTGTTGCTGGAGTAACAATTGGCAGAGATTGCCCTACACTCTAATGACATTTTACTCTCCCCAAATCAGATCGATAGGTTTTTGAAGTGCACTCATGTTGAATTAGAACAATAATAAACAGTTTTTAAAGAAATGCATGAAAAATAAAAAGAAATAACAAAAATTACCTTTTAAAATACATCTTTTCACCTTTTTGAAGCATTTTTACAAAGTTAAGGGGCGTGTGTGTGTGTGTGTGTGTGTGTGTGTGTATTTACCACCCCCTTACCATGATGACAACAAGAACTCAAGAAAAAGATTTCCTGGGGCTGGGCATGGTGACTCATGCCTGTAATGGGAGGCCGAGGTGGGTGGATTGCCTGAGCTCAGGTGTTCAAGACCAGCCTGGGCAACATGGTAAAACCGCATCTCTACTAAAATACAAAAAAACAGCTGGGCATGGTGGCATGCGCCTGTAATTCCAGCTACTTGGGAGGCGGAGGCAGAATCGCTTGAAGCTGGAAGTTGGAGGTTGCAGTGAGGTGAGATCGCACCACTGCTTTCCAGCCTGGGCAACAGAGCGAGACTCTGTCTCAAAAAAAAGAAAAAAAGAAAAAAAGATTTCCTGGCAAAATGAACCAATGCACTGACCAGCTGGATGCACCACAGTGTTCTGTCTTTTCATCTGACTTCCTTAGAGAAGAAATCATCTGATTCATTCAGGGACTATCCTCCCAAGCTAATTAGTACATTTAATCACCTCCAATAACCTTGAGTCAGTGGGGGTTTCTGTTTGTTTGTTTTTCGTTTTTTGGCCTAGTATCTGAGTGCTACATGCCAGGGACATTTTTAGGTGCTTAACATGCATTAACTAATGTAAGTCTCCAACAACCTATGAGAGTATTTGAGGTAAGTATTATTCTAAAAATGCCCTCCTCCAAAGATTTCCATCTTGATTACTCATTGAAACAGTAATTTAGGTATTGATCTGAAGGGACTTTACAAACATAATTAAAAGTTATGTACCTTAAGATAGAAAGAGGCCAGGTACGGTGGCTCATGGCTGTACTTTGGGAGGCCAGTACTTTGGGAGGCCAAGGCCCGAGGTGGGTGGATTACTTGAGGACAGGAGTTCGAGATCAGCCTCTCCAACATGGAGAGACCCCATCTCTACTAAAAATACGAAAGTTAGCCAGGCATGATGATACATGTCTGTAATCTCAGCTACTCAAAAAGGCTGAGGCAGGAGAATTGTTTGAACCTGGGAGGCAGAGGTTGCAGTGAGCTTAGATTGTGCCACTGTACTCCAGCCTGGGTGACAAAGTGAGACTCTGTCTCAAAAAAAAAAAAAAAAAAAAGTTTTTCTTAATTATTTGGTTATACCTGATCTAATAATTATTTCAGCCCTTAAAAATGAGAATTTTTTCAGGCTAGAGTCAGAGAGATGTGGCAAAAGAAGGAACAGGAACAGGAGAGATCATACAGAAAGCGAGATGAGAGAGATTTAAAGTGTGAGGAGGACTTGACGTGCCCTTCCTGGTTTCGAAGATGGAGGAAGGAGCCACAAGCCAAGGAACGCAGATGGCCTCTAGGAGCTGGGAATCCCCATCTGAAAGCCAGCAAGGAAACTGCACAGAACTGAGCTCTGCCAACAAGCTGAACGAGCTTGAAAGCAGATCCGCACCCCCGCCCCCGTCCTTCACCCAAACCCCACCACCCCCGAACCTTCATTGAGGAACACAGTCCTGATGACCCTTTACCGGTGCAGTTCTAGATTAGAGGAGACTAAGGAGACATCATCACCAAATTCAAGACGACCCTTTGATTAGATTCTGTTTGTGGATGGGGTAGGGAATAACTTTAAAGAATGTTGTTGAAACAAGTGGGGAAATTTTAATTTGGCCTATTAGAGAATAGTATTTTATCAATGTTAAATTTCCTGAATGTGATAGTTGAATTGTGGTTATTTAGAAGAATGTCCTAGTTCTTAGGAGACAACATGCTCAAGCATTTAGGAGAGAAGTATCATCCTTAATATAAGCCGATATAAAGCAAATGTGTACAATGCGAACAGTTGGTGAATCTAGATGAAGGTGTTCATTGAATTATTTTTTGCAATTTTTCTGAAAAAAAAAATTCAAAATAAAAAGTTGGCGGGAAATAAAAATCACTGTGGATACTTTGTGTAGCATGGATTTGAGGTCAGTAGGAAAGAAGTAGGAAGACAGGATGAGAAGGTATTCCGCAGCCAGACTGAGGGCTGGGATGCAAGAGGAATAGCAGGGATAATGGAAAGCATCCCCCGCCCACAGCTAGGCCGGCGAAGCAGCTCATCCTGTAACTGTGGTTCCCACAGGCTTCCCTTGCAGGGCCGGGGGTGTGGTCGCCCAGCTGCTTTCGAATTTGGTTGGGATTGAGGACGGGTGCCTCGGGATGCTTTGCCCCGCCCCGCTCCAGATTGGAAGAGCCCACGTGTCAGTGTTAGATGGGGGAAGCGGCATCATAAATTTAATTAGCGCTTCTCTTCTCAAAGTATCTCCCAAATCTTTGGCCTTTTTCCATAACATAATTTCCTTTTAGGTCAATATCTCTTTAAAATTGATGTTTAATTAAGAAAAAGTGTGAGTCATATAAAGATGATTTTTTTCAGCTTCCCCCGCTACGTCCGCCCCATGCGCCAGGCCGCGAGAGGCAGGACGTGGAAGCGGAAGTGCTGGTCGGGAGCGTTCTCTCGAGTCCGGGGCGCACCTAGCGGACGCTGCCCATGGAGGCGTCTAGCGAGCCGCCGCTGGATGCTAAGTCCGAGGTGAGTGCCAACCGGGAAGGAGAGCGGGCAGCGAGGCTCTGGAGCAAGAAAGATGTTTCTCTAAATTGTGTTTCTGCTTCCGTTTCAGGTCACCAACCAGGTGAGTGAGCGGCCGCCCCGCCCTGTCCTCCGCCGGCCCGCCTCCCACGGCTGCGAGACCATGCCACCCTGAGCCTTCCCCAGGTCTCCCCGAGTCTTGTGTCCGGGAGCCGGTGACCTTCAGTCCACCTCCTTGCGTTGCTCCTTCTCCTTTGCATCTGAGCCGGTAGCCGTTGCCATTGTAATGAAAGCTCCTCTTCCCCACCCCGCACTAGCCCAAAGAATGCAGATCAGGGATTGTTGGGCTTTGATTAGGCGTCATTTATTCGAAGCTAGGAACACCGTATTTTAAAGTGTGGTGGATATAGAAGTAGTTATGAAAATTTTCAGAGATAGCGTCGCAAACATTTTCTTAGTCTCTAAAAAATGTTATTTTTGAAGATGAAGTATAGCATTTTAGCCTTTTAGAGTATGCATTTATAATGCTAGGAATATGAATTTGACTTTTAAAGTATATGTTAGCCCCATTTCCTTTTCAAGTGCTGCTGTGCGGTTTTAGCTAATAAACTATTTGTAGGCAACTAATTTATAACACTTCCCAGAATAGGAATACTAAAACTAGAGTATTTTTAGGCCAGGAGTTACCCAATTCCATACAAAATGTAAGAAAGGGATGAGATAAGAAATAATTAGAATACAGGGGCTGAGAGAGGTGTCCATTGACTGCTCTCTGTCATTTTTCTCTAACTGACTTTGCTTTTGAGGATTCCTGGGAAGTAGGGGAAGTCAGCTGTCAACCGTCTACCTGGCTTTCCTTAGTTATATGACTTAGTGCATTTTGAGTCGATCTTTCGTAAGTCATTTTATCCATTCTCTTACGTTAAGTTTTGTATTTAAGATATTGTGAAACAGAATTATACTAATTATGGGGTTTTTTAAGTTGAACTCTTTTTGGCTTAAACACAAATTTATTATCTTCTAGTTCTGGAAGTCAGAAGTCCTAAACTAGTCGTACGGGGCTAAAATCAAGGTATCTGCAGGGCTGTGTTCCGTCTGAGGCGATAGGGGAGATTGTTTCCTCCTTGGCTTGTGGCCTCTGCTTCCATCTTCAAAGCACATCATTCCAGCCTCTGCTTCCATTGTCACATTGCCTTCTGACTCTGACCCTTTTTCCTCCCTCTTGTAAGGACCCTTTCGATTACATTTGGCCCACCTGGATAATCCAGGAAAATCTCCGCATCTCCAAGTCCTTAATTTTGTCACATCTACCAATACTGTTTTGTTGCCTAAGGTAACATATTCATAGATTTTGAGGATTAGCATGTGGACATATTTGGGAGGGCCATTATTCAGCCTACTGCACATCCTTCTATACAGTAATTCACAGATTATGAGTGTTTGCATAGAAAAAGCCAAGATCATTTACAAACAGGTTATTAGATTTAATGTGAGAGTTCAGCAAGGTGATTCCATTGTTGAACGTTATTTAGTTCAGACAAAAAGAGTTGGAAAATATAATTTTAAAGATGTCATTTATAACATGAAGAAACTATGGGCTGGGCGTGGTGGCTCACGACTGTAAGCTCAGGGCTTTGGGAGGATTGCTTGAGGCCAGCAGTTTGAGACCAGAGTGGGCAACATAGCAAGACCTTATCTCTATAAAAATAAAAAAATTAATCAGGTGTGGAGGCACAGACCTGTAGTACAAGCTACTCAGGAGGCTGAGACGAGAAGATCTGGGCCCAGGAGTTTGAGGCAGCAGTGAGCTTTAATTACACCACTGCAGTCCAGCCTGAGTGACAGAGTGAGACTCCATCTCTTAAAAAAATTACAGAGTATCTTGCAATAAATCTAACAAAAGATATTTAAAAATTTTATGAAGAAAATGACAAAAAGTGGTAGACTTTTACTTTGTGGTCCAGCTCATAAGGAGCTTGGAAGTCATCACCCTGTCCTAGCAACAAGGAAAAGCTGCACAAACTGAAAAATCAACAACTCCTCTTGGATCTGTCAGAGAAGCGCGATCACAGGGTAAATTGCTGTCCCCCGAATTGGTGAGACAGACTGCGAAGACAGAGAACCACAACTTAGAGCAGAAGCTCCACGGAAACCAATGCCTGAACTGAAATTGACGGATTGCTGCAGGTTCCCATCTCTCCCTCACACCTGACATACAGTCGTATCAGCATATTGTTTTCTCTCACTCTGAATTCACCACCTCTTGCTGCCAGCTGGGTTCAAGCCGCCATTCTCTTTTCTGGAATACTGCAGTAGCCTGGTAACAGGGTCACCCAACTTTCTTAAACTTTGTGCCTCACCAGGCAGTCTGGATGAGCTTTTTATAATCCAAGTTAGACCAGGTATCTCTGCTACTCAGAGCTTTTTAAGAGATTCTTGTCACACTGGAAAAAAGTCGTAGGTATTTACTGTGGCCCCACAGGGCCCTTCGAAGATGGATTCCTTATCTCTTACCACTCTTCCTAGCTCATGCCCCTCCAGCTACCTGGGCCTCATTGTTCCCTGAACACACCAAGCATGCTTCTCCCTCAGTCCAGAATGTTCTTTTCTCCAGATCCTGTGGCTTTTTCTTCATTTTATTCGAGTCTCTTTCTGTTCAAAAGCCACATGAAAGAGGTCTTCCCAGGTTCTATCTAAATAGCCTTTCTTGTCACCCTGTCACCTTACCCTGCATTTTGTCACACCATAATGTTACCATTTCATTATACTTTTGTTTATTGTCTGCCTTCCCCACTAGAATTCTGAAGGTCAGGGACTATGCTTTATTTTTGACTTCCCTAATGCTTAGAATATAGTATTGCTTAGTATATACTGAATAGTGAGGTCTCCCTCTTTCTCAAAACATATAGGAATTGCCAATTTTATAGATAGTTTTTATAGTCATGTTTTTATATTACTAGTAACTTCAGCCTCCACATCAATTTTTAGTGTGACGACAGCTAATTTGTTTACCTTTTTATATATTTACTTCCTGATTATTCTTTTTACTTCTGGATGTTTTTATATTTTCTTTTTTACTACTAGCTTTCTGTTTCTTTATATGTTTTCCTTTTTCAATACTTCATCATACAGTAATTTTGGGGCTGCCATACATTGTTTCATTCTTAACATTCTTCATAGTGGTAAGTGTTCTCTGTTCTGATTTTTTCTTTTATATTCTTGTATTTTTAAAATCTTTGTAGTTCACTCCTGCTTAAGATGAAACCACAATTATTAGAAGGTTTGCTTTCATTTTGCATTTAAATGTTGAGGTTAGAATTTTGGAAATTATCTCATAAACCTAGTCGTAGCTTTCTTTCAATTGTGAAGACTGACTTTGCACGGTGTCTTGATGGCAGGTCTCCCTGTTTCCTCACCTGACAATTTCACTGTTTTAAGAGTCAGTGGAACTCAGCATTGCACGCCTTCTTTGCTTTTCTGCTTGAAATCTTCTAGTTTTATTTCAGATTCTGAGAAACAAATAGGCACCCCTTTACTCTGCCACTTTCATGTGGATGGTAAAAATGGAACTTCTTCCATCAAGGAGTTGTAGAGTCTAAATACTGTTAAGAATAAGAAATTGCTTACTTATTTCTTACTCAAACATTTAGGGGAGGGAAGCCCAGGTAGAAGAATCGCTTGAAACCAGAAGGTCTAGGCTACAGTGAGTCACGTTCATGCCACTGCACTCCAGTCTGAGCAACAGCCTGAGATCCTGTCTGGAAAAAAAAAAAAGGAAAATGAATTCGAGGTTCAATTTTTGGATGTCACTGTTGAACTGGAATTAAAACTCTCTACTCATGAACTCTGCTGAATTCTGTTTTTGGATTTTTAACCTATTTCTGAACATTCCTGTTGAGATATCCCTAGTATCATCTCATAATGATACTTTCGGACTGGATACCTCAGCATTCTCCCAGTTATCCAAGGTCAAATTTTTATAATTTTCTATGAACAACTATAGTTGTATCTTGTAGGCAATCATCAAGACCTAGCAATACATCTTTCTTATGATCGGTTTAGTCCTACTTGTCACCAGCTTAGTTCAGGCACTTATATAACTTCAGACTTGGATTATTATGTTCTGCTGCCACCAGATGAATCTCTGTTTTTTTTTTTTTTCCCAGAGTTGGGGGTCTCGCTCTGTTGCCCAGGCTGGAGTGCAGTGGCATGCTCACAGCTCACTGCAGCCTTGACCTCCTGGGCTCAGGTGATCCTCCCACTTCATTCTCCCAAGTAGCTGGGACTTATAGGTGTGCCCTACCACACCTGGCTACTTTTTGTACTTTTGTATTTTTTGTAGAGACAGGGCTGTTGCCCAGGCTGGTCTGGAACCCCTGCACTCAAGTGATCCACCTGCCTTGGCCTTCCAGAATGCTGGAATTACAGGTGTGAGCCACCGTGTCCAGCCTGAATGTCCATTAATCAATATTTTGATATCATTCTCTCTATTGAAAAACTTTCAGTGAGTCCCCAATGCCTACAGGGAAAGTTTAAGTGACTTAATGTGATAAGTTTTCCATAGGAAGATAAAGGATACAAAAGTACTGTGAAAACCTCTGAAAGCTCAATTTGCAAGGAATTACTGGCTTTTTGATCACTTTTGTCAACTTTATTTTTCATATTTCCTTACAAGAGCCGTCTACTTTAAGATAGATAAATGTTCTATCCCTAAGCCAAATTTTGACTCTTTTCATCTGTAATTGGTTCCACCCAATATTTATTAAGCATGTATTCTTTGCTAGGTGTGCATTTATGGTATATATAAATAAAACACATTTTTCTCTCAATTCCTGTTCTGTTTATTCTTCAAAGTGGAGCTTAAAGCCTTCTGTAAAGCTTTCCCTTAACTCCCTAGGCTACAATAAAGTCTTCCTTTCAACCAGAAATGTATTCACTCACTTATATTGCTCTCTCTGGAGTATATATGCAAAAAGTGCACAAAATATGGACAGTTAATTATCTAAAAGTGAACACTCATGTAACCACAAGCAAAAGTCAATAAATGGAGTGTTACCAGTCCCCCAGAAGCCCACCACATGCTCCTCTTCAATCAGTGCCCACTTCTCTCCACCCCAAGAGGATAGGCATATTCTTCTCTTTATAGTGTTACCACCTCTTTCTCAAGTTTAAGTGAACAGAATCATAACTTTTGGCCTTGTTTTAACATTTTTGGTTTTACGTGTAACTGAAGTTCATTTTCATTGCTGTGTAGCATTTCATTTATCCATTTTTATTTTTCTGATGAACATTTGGGTTTTCAGTTTAGGGCTATTACGAATAAAGCTGCTAGGGACATTTTCATATATGTATCCTGTGTACACATTCACAAGTTTTTCTAAGTTCTGTCCCTAGTAGAATTTGGATCACAGTATGCGTAGCTTCAGTTTTACTAGCTAAAGTCAGTTCTTTAATAGATTGGCCCAGTTTATACTTTCACCAACAGCATGTGACACTTCCCATTGCCTCACGTCCTTCCTTGTCAATACTTGGAATTTTCAGACTTAAATTTTTGCCATTTTGGTAGCTGTGTAGTGGTATCTAATTGTGGCTTTAATTCCTTGTTTCTTAAGGTGAGCACATTTTCATAGGTTTATTAGAAATTTGTAGTTATTTTGTGATTTGCCTTTCTCTATTTTTATATGGAGAACTTTTCTTTAAAATGAATTTATACAATCTTTTTACTTATAAAAGATGTTAACCTTTTGTCAGCACCAGCTTGGACTTAATGCTGTAGGAGATTGGTGCAAAGCAAGTCTGAGATAGGAGGAATTTTTGGCCCCCCTTTTATAAAAATGGGAGATTTACAAATGCCTATTCCATACCCCAAAAGTCCTAAAATAGAAGATGGGTTATATAACTTCCATGGTTGGTTGAGGCATACATGGGAACCATTCCATTTCTTTTCCTCACCATAGTCCTTAAGCTCAAATACTACATTAGTGTAAATAGTGATAAGGTGGTTTGGATTTCATCAGTGTTTGTGATAGATATGTGGTAGGATATATGGTGGGATTTACAGAAATCCTAACTTTTACAAGAATAAATGTATTAACAAGTGAAGATTTTTGCCCAGTGAGCATTAGTTTTAAAGAAAAAGGTATCAGTCAGTGAGCAAGTGCTTTTTGAGTGCCTGCTATGCATCAGGCTAAGCTTTGGAAACAAGACAGACAGTATTTTATCCCTGTGTTTTATGTTTTAGAGTCATGTTTTTGAGGCACTATTAACAACTGCATGTTTTATGCCATGGCATCATTTAGCAGTCATTGACAGGAATTAGATTAAAAAGTATTGAGGCAACCAGTAGTCACTAAGCATGTCATCTTTGGAGTCAAACAGACTGGTTTCAGTTGATTCCAGAAATGTGTGACCTTATGCCCATTACCTAAGCTCTCTGAAGTTGGCTTTTGTCATCTACAAAGTGGAAACAATAACCTATAATGTTACGTTGATTCAGTAAGGTATTTAATACATGTAAACTGCGTAGCACATCACCCAGGGTGTATATCTGTCATGAACACTGATAAAATCCAAAATTACCTTATCACTATACATGCTAATGGAAGGCTTGAGCATGGAACAGCGAAGTGAACTAAAAGATACTCCAAGCCTGTTAAAGGAAACCAATACTGCCACATCTTCCTTCCACTTCCATTATACATTGGAGGGGAGATTTTTTTTTCCCCCCCACGTTTTGCTTTTTTCCATTTTTAACTACGATGGTGTTTTCTAACTGCGTTTATATCCCTTATTACCTCTCCATTTTTTCATTTGATTATTGTTCCTCTAGCAATATTAAAATGAAGATACTTTCTTTAAATATGACCAGCGTTGAAACTAAAAGTTGAGTATGAGTGCAGTAAAATTGAATAAATATCTGCATTCCAGGTTATGTTACTACTAATGTATTATTCTGTCTTATTAAAGCTTGTAGATTTTCAGTGGAAACTGGGTATGGCTGTGAGCTCAGACACTTGCAGATCTCTTAAGTATCCTTATGTTGCAGTGATGCTAAAAGTGGCAGATCATTCAGGCCAAGTAAAGACCAAGTGCTTTGAAATGACGATTCCACAGTTTCAGGTTTGTGATTTAACTCATCCGGTTTTAGCTCATTTTTTCTGTAATCGTCGTATAAAAAGATATATACAATTTTTCTTCGGGAAAACTTTAATGGTTTTTATTTGTAGATTGATGTGCTTTACGTTTACTAGTAGTATATGCAAGAGATGTGAATTTGTCTCCTTTGGGAATTTGATAAATTATTTTCAATATAATGTGCTGAATTTGTGTACTGTGCCATTTGATCACTTGAAAAGTACTCCTCTGAGTATATTTAGGAAATTTTATCTTCAATGGCAGGATATTTACTTTGCATTTAAATGTTTTATTCTTATTCCTTTGGGCTTAATGTTCAAGAATGTTAAGCTAAATGAATCTTTGAATAGCGCTGACCCTGAATTTTCTAACTAATAATGTTTACAAAAGGCAGGTCAGAGCAAGTGAACTTGTTGCCTGGCTTTATCAGCTAGGGACTTACGTAACTCAGTAGTTTAGAGTTACGTTACCATATTATCATTCTACCTCTTTTCTGTAACCAAGGGGGAGTAAGGGTCGTGGTGGGGAGGGCTATAAATCAGGTTTTCTTTTTGTGTTTTTTTGAGACGGAGTCTCGCCCTGCCACCCAGGCTGGAGTGCGGTGGTACCATCTTGGCTCACTGCAAGCTCCGCCTCCTGGGTTCACGCCATTCTCCTGCCTCAGCCTCCTGAGTAGCTGGGACTACAGGCGTCTGACACCACACCTGGCTAATTTTTTTGTATTTTTGGTAGAGACGGGGTTTCACTGCGTTAGCCAGGATGGTCTCGATCTCCTGACTTCGTGATCCACCCGCCTTGGCATCCCAAAGTGCTGGGATTACAGGCGTGAGCCACTGCGCCCGGCCAGGTTTTCTTTTAAATGTACATACTGGAGATGTTTTGTCATGAATTTAACTGTCCTGTACAGTTTTGTTTTTGTTTGTTTGGTTTGTTTCTTTTGGTATGAATAGGTAAGAATCTATTCTTAGCACTTACACTAGTACTAACTTAGTACTTACACTTAGTACTTATAACAGCAGTTAGTACTCTAAAAGTCAAAGCAACCATCGTGAATGAAATGGAAATAAAAAGTGATTCTTCGTAAAACAAACTAAAATTATATTGGTCCTAGGCTTCCTTTTATTTTATTTTTTTTATTTTTTATTTTTTTGAGACGGAGTCTCGCTCTGTAGCCCAGGCTGGAGTGCAGTGGCCGGATCTCAGCTCACTGCAAGCTCCGCCTCCCGGGTTCACGCCATTCTCCGGCCTCAGCCTCCCGAGTAGCTGGGACTACAGGCGCCCGCCACCTCGCCCGGCTAGTTTTTTGTATTTCTTAGTAGAGACGGGGTTTCACCGTGTTATCCAGGATGGTCTCGATCTCGTGACCTCGTGATCCACCCGTCTCGGCCTCCCAAAGTGCTGGGATTACGGGCTTGAGCCACCGCGCCCGGCCGCTTTCCTTTTAAATAAAACTCTTTCATATACCACTTTATGGTACTTTTGATTTCTACTTTTATAAACTATATTTTAAATAATTTCTTTCCCTTTCTTTTTTTCCTTTTTTGAGACACAGTTTCACTCTTGTTGCCCAGGCTGGAGTGCAATGGCGTGATCTCGGCTCACTGCAACCTCCGCCTCCCGGTTCAAGTGGTTCTCCTGCCTCAGCTTCCTGAGTAGCTGGGACTGCAAGCACGTACCACCATGCCCGGCTAATTTTTGTATTTTTAGTAGAGATGAGGTTTCACCATGTTGGCCAGGCTGGTCTGAAACTCCTGACCTCAGTTGATCTGTCTCCCTCAGCCTCCCAAAGTGCTGGGATTACAGGTTTGAGTCACCGTGCTCAGCCTGATTTCTTTATTTAAAATAGATATCCCTGCTTTGAAACAAAAATAATGTTCACAAATTTAACATTATTAGTGTTGATTAGTGTCTTGGAACTGAGACTCAGTGAAAAGGAAATAAATGTATATTGTGATATGGGAATGACATTCAACTAAATATGAAGACTCAGTCAATTTCAAGAGTATACGTTTTGGTTTTCTTTGTAATTCACAGTGCTGGCCTAATTCTTATTATTCTGTGCAGCATTTGTGCTATCCTAATTCCACCTCTAGAAATTTTTTCTCATAGGGAAAAAAAGCACAAATGGATTAATTTTTTCCACAGCTTTATTGAGGTACAGTTGACAAAATTGTGTATTTCAAAGGTTTCACAATGTGATGATTTGATAAACATACACATTTTGTAATGATTACCACAGTCACACTAATTAACACATCCACCTCCACACATAGTTACCTTTTTTGGGGGACAGAGTGTGTGTGTGTTGAGGGCATGTAAAATCTTTTTTTAGCAAATTTCAACTAAACAATACAGTATTATTAACTGTAGTCACCATATTGTACATTAGATCTCAGACTTACTTATTTTATAACCAAAAGTTTGTACCTTTTTACTAAAATTTCCCCATTGACCCCAGCCTCAGCTCCTGGCAACCTCCAGTCTCCTTTCTGCTTCTGTGAGTTTGACTTTTTTAGATTCCACATAGGTGAGATCATGCAGTAGTAGCCTTTCTGTGTCTGGCTTATTTCACTTTGCATAACATCCTCCAGATTCATCCATGTTGTTGCAAATGGCAGGATTTCCTTCTTTTTTTATGGCTGTGTGATATTCCATTATGTGTGTATGTATACACATACATAGTATATACATACATTATAAACATATTAAATATAAATATACACAAAAACATTTTCATTAGAGGCAACTCTTTTAAAGAGAGTTTTTACATGGGTTAAAACTGACCACAAGATAACCTGTTAATCACATTACATGACTGAGAGCTAAGGAACATTCTTTGAGCTTTTAATTTATATCTGTTTGGTAACTAAAATTTTGAACATCAATACATATTTTTAAAGAAATAGTTACACTTTGCTTCGTTCTGTGACAAATTTGCATATAAATTAAAACAATACAAATCCTCTTAAGTAGCAAAATAAAAAATTAAGACCAAATAAGAAGGAAAATGCAGATGTGTAAATCATTAGAAGGTATCCTGATTGCCAAGGTTAAGTTTCAAATTTGTGTCCTAGCTTCCTGGTAGGTACAGGAGAAGACAGAAGAACAATTCGCCTGATTCCTTTCTTACCTGAGATGTAAAAGAAGATGACTTCTATAGGAGAACCATTATACCAGCTTAATTTTTAAATGACAGAGAAATAAGCTCTACCATATAAGCCATTGCTAATGTTGGATCTCTCTTCTAGTAATTAAACCCATAATCTTAAATGAGACAGCCCCTACCACACTGAAATGCAGTTCTTTACTAGATTGAAAGTGTTTTGAGGCCTGGAACCAACCTGTTATTTTTGTTTTTATTTTCAGTGTCTAGGACAGTGCTGAGTATTTAATAAATCTGGTGTGATCTTAAAAGGACTTTCTCATGTGCTTTTTGAAAAGTTTAGTCATGAGATAATTATCCAACTCTACAGTAGTATTTTTGCTTGCACTACCAAATTACACCTGTTTATTTCTTTTTTTTTTTTTTTTTTTTTTTTGAGACGGAGTCTCACGCTGTTGCCCAGGCTGGAGTGCAGTGGCGCGATCTCGGCTCACTGCAAGCTCCGCCTCCTGGGTTCACGCCATTCTCCTGCCTCAGCCTCCTGAGTAGCTAGGACTACAGGCGCCCGCCACCGCGCCCGGCTAATTTTTTGTATTTTTAGTAGAGACGGGGTTTCACTGTGGTCTCGATCTCCTGACCTTGTGATCCGCCCGCCTCGGCCTCCCAAAGTGCTGGGATTACAGGCTTGAGCCACCGCGCCCGGCCTTACACCTGTTTATTTCTTACAGCAACCTTCAGTAATTGAGAATGTAACATTAAAATGCAAACTGAATATGTTATATAATCTCTGGTAGTCAGATATAATTAAAATAACTATTTAAATATCTTCTAAAAGCAAAATTAATATTATTTTCCCCATTTCTCTCTAGAATTTCTACAGACAGTTCAAGGAAATTGCTGCAGTTATTGAAACGGTGTGAAGACGGATTCTTTGGTTGATAAATTGCTATCATTCTAAAGTCATGGACTTCACTTTCTGCAACAAAACCACATAAGGATGGAACATTTATTGAATGAAAAATGCACTTTTGTTTTTCCATTTTTTTAAATAATAAAAATCAGATAAACAGGAATTGGGTAGTGGTAATAAATGCACAACTTTGTGAATGTGCTTTATAAAAGTGACTGAATTAGACACTTTAAAGGGTGTACTTGGTGATAATGTGAATGATATAATCAGACTAACATTTGAATCATTGCTATTGGAGGCAGCACAAATTTATGTGTTATACAACAGTAGTTTAAAAACTTGTACTGGATGGAACCCATTTTATAAACAATCTTGAGTCATATATAAATATATATATAAATCAGAAAAGTAGTATTTGATTAGGATAACTTGACAAATTCAATTGTATAGCCATCACTTATTATAACAGCAGTCAGAAGAGTGAGCCTTCTTTTTTCAAACAGTTGTAATCAGATTAAGATTGACCATTGCTCCTTTACACAGTATTAGTCTAGCATTCAATTTTTTCTGGTATTAATGGTTGTAGAAAGTTCAAATACATACACAGAGTTGGAAAGACAAGTTTTAGTCTTTGAGTTTTGTACTACTGAGTTAACCTGTTAGCACAAGTTACTGCATTAGATGATCTCTCTTGAATTTAAATATATAAACCTGTTTTTAAACTCTTTTATATTATAAAGCTACCACATTGTATGGCGTTTGTTTAGAAGTAAGCAAATAGGCCACCGGAATAGAATAGATGGCCTAGAAATAAATCGAGACATTCTGGTCCACCACATTGGAAATTTAAACCCTCTTCACACCCTGTCTGCATTTCTGCAGGTCTGTGTGAGTCCACTTTCTTTGTTTTCTGCTAGGTAGCACAGTGCTGCAAGGAGCCCAGGACTGCTGCCTGCCGCAGCACACCTGTACGCTCAGAGTCCCACCAGCTTGATGAGTTAGCTGATGGGCCATTTGTGCATACTAACTACCCACAGACATTTCTATTTACCCACCCTCTGGATGCCAACGCATTAATGATCCTAGAATTATGAGAAACCAAAGATCCCTTCTCTGTCCCTCCCTCAATTCTGTGGGGTACCAGTGTCATTGTGTTCCTAGAAATAAGAGTGGAAACCCCTCTATCTGGGTTAGAACAACAAACCTGCCTTCTCTAACTGTGCGTGAGGTTCCTCTGTCTCCCACTTCATTTGGATTAAAACCTTCCTCTTTCCCCTTCCCTATTTGCATGGTAGCATTTCTAGGTTTAAGGCAATATGCAAAAAGACCCAAAGTTAGGCCCTGGCTCAAACACTGTGGGTGGCAGATTTGAAATAAATTTAAATCGCGTGTTTAAGTTTGTCTTTTGAATTTAAAAAGCAAGTTTTAACCTGGCACTTTGGGAGGCTGAGGTGGGCAGATCACTTGAGGCCAGGAATTCAAGACCAGCCTGGCCAACATGGCAAAACCCCATTTTTACAAAAAATAAAAAAATTAGCTGGATGTGGTGGCATATGCCTACAATCCCAGCTACTCGGGAGGCTGAGGCAAGAGAATTGTTTAGACCCGGGAGGCAGAGGTCACAGTAAGCCACGATCTCATCATTGTACTTCAGCCTGGGTGATAGAGTGAGACTGTCCTCACCCCCCCCCACCAAAAATAAAAAGTTTTTTCATAGTGTATTTTCACACTTTTTATTACAAATGTCTATTTTTGCTTTATTAAGCAAAATGTCTATTTTTGCTTTATTAATCAGCTTCACTGGGCTGGCCTGGGAATTAACCATTGTTAAAATTTCTGTGGAAAAGTGTGTTTCAAGTTTCAAACAGTTGACTTAAATGTAAACTTTTAGAAAACAGTTCATTCTCAAATGGGAAACTATTAATACACTTTTAGTTTTCAAAAAGAAATAGATTGCTCCCCCCCGTCCAAATGTATCAAGCAAAACCCAAGTTTTTTCATGTATTCCACTATCAAGACATGTTGATACAAGCATCAGATTTATATAGAAAGAAGGCAAAACTCACAAAGTACTTAAGGAGAATTATCTTTTCAAACGGTTTTTTTTTTTTTTTTTTTTTTTTTTTTTTTTTTTTTTTTTTGAGAGAGAGTCTTGCTCTGTCTCCCTGTCTGTAGTGCAGTGGTGCAATCTTGGCTCACTGCAATCTCCGCCTCCCGGGTTCAAGCTATTCTCCAACCTCAGCCTCCTGAGTAGCTGGGATTACGGGCGTGTGCCACCGCATTTGGCTAATTTTTGTATTTTTAGTAGAGAAGGGTTTCACCGTATTGGCCAGGCTGATCTCAAACTCCTGACCTCAGGTGATCTGCCCACCTTGGCCTCCCGAAGTGCTGGGATTACAGGCGTGAGCCACCGCGCCCAGCCTTTCAAAACACATTTAAAAAAATCTTTTGTACCTTTTGTTTTTTAAAACTTCATAAAAGTTTTAAATTTATAGAAAAATTGTGGAAATAGTAGAGCTCCCATATTCTCCATGTCCAGTTTCCCTTATTAACATATTAGTATGATACATTTGTTATAATTAACAAGCCAATGTTGATATATTGGATTTCTTTAGTTTTTGCCTAATGTCCTTTTTCTGATCTAGTATCCCATCCAGGATACCTCATTACATTTAGTTGTCATGTCTCCTTAAGCTCCTCTTGGTTAGGACAGTTTCTCAGACTTTCCTTGTTTTTGATGACCTTGACAGTTTTGAGGAGTACTAGTCAGGTATAATTTAGGGTGCTCCTCGATTGGGTATCGTCTGATGTGTTTCTGGAATTGAATTGTGGGTTTTTGGGAGGAAGATCACAGAGGTAAAGGGCCATTTTCTACATGTCATACCAAGGGTTCTTATAGCAAAGTGATTTATATTGGTTTATGTTGACCTTGATAATTGACTGAAGTAGTGTTTGTCAAGTCAAGTTACTTTTTTCCCCTTCTTTCCATACTTTACTGTTCAAAAGGAAGTCACTATCTGCTGCCCTTACTGAAGGAGTGGGAAGTTATACCCCGCTCTTTTACGGTGGAGCAGCTACATGTTTGACTTGGGATTCTTCTGTGAGCAAGGTTTGTCTCTTCTCCCCCATTTATTAATTTATTCCATCATTTATATCAGTATGTACCCATGGATATTTATTTTATACTTGGAGTTATAATTGAATTTTTTTGTTGCTCAGATTATTCCAGCTTTTCCATTGGTAGCTTTTTGGGTTGGCTCATGCGCTCCTTTGACACACTTTTATCAATGTGTGTGTGAGAACACTTTCTTTCTGACACTACAAGACACTTCATCTTGTATATTTCCTGCCACAGTCCTAGAATCCCATTACTTTCAGGAGCTCTGGTTATTTTAACTGAACTATGGTTTTAGAAACCAAGATATGGATGCCAGGTTTGCTCTATATTTTATATTTTGAGAGCATTAAAATGTAGAAGTCAGCCAGGTGTGGTAGCTCATGCCTGTAATCTCAATTCTTTGGGAGGCTGAGGTAGGAGGATCACTAAGCATTTGAGGTTACAGTGAGCTATGATTGTCCAGCCTGGGTGACAGGACAAGACCCTGTCTCTAGGAAAAAAAAAAAAAAAAAAAAAGGTAAAAAAGTTCTGCTGCCAAGATATGTTAGACCACAAAGCCAAGCCCTTGTTTGAGGATTGGTAAGAATGGTGACCTGGACTCAGTAAATGCTCTCACTTTAGTATACGATGGAATCACCTAACAAACAGGACAATATTTTGTATATGCCCTGTTTGTATGTATAAGATCAAAGATGCAAGAAAGCAGATATATCTACTTGGTAAGGTAGGCCAGAAGGTTGATAGTTTTACTAACCCATGAGGAGGCAGATAGCATCTAAGTTTGAGGAGCCCAGAATTTTGGGCTTGCTGTCTTTCATACTGTTTTGAGCTGAATGGGATGGATGGGGAGAGGACCCACTCTTACCAGGACATTTTTGAAAATAAAAGGTGACATCATTAATATGCTATAATACAGATACAAATTGGAACTGCCCTGAGCATATCAGGACATACGGTCATGCAAGTCTCATCATACAAAGAAATTATTACTTAGCCACAACATCTATGTTCTATTTCCCTTTGCATCATAAGCCTGTTGAAGGATTCAATGTAGTGCCCTTAAAGTAGACCTAGTGTTGGCCAATTGCAGCTCATATTAGACTTACTGGTCATGCCCTTAGGCATAAAAGCTTACATTTGAAAGACACCTATATGTATATAAAGTATTCATCACTGAATGTTGTATTATTTCATTCTCTCACTGCTATAAAGGAATACCTGAGACTGGGTAATTTATGAAGAAAATAGTGGCTCACAGTTCCTCCTTAAGTGGCTCACAGTTCTACAGGCTATGTAGGAAGCAAGACAGCTTCTCCTTGGCTTCTGGGGAGGCCTCAGGAAACTTGCAATTATGGTGAGAGGCAAAGAGGAAGCGAGCATTTCATACGGCCGAGAGCAGGAAGAAGAGAGAGAGGTGGTGGAAGGTGCCACCCACTTTTAAACAGCCAGGTTTCTTGAAAACTCACCATCATGAGAACAGCACCAAGAAGAGAAATCTGCCCCCTTGATCTAGTCACCTCCCACCAGGCCCCATCTTCAACACTGGGGATTACAGTTCAACGTGAGATTTGGGTGGGGATACAGATCTAAACCACATCATTCTGCTACAATCCCTCCCAAATCTCATGTCCTTCTCATATTCCAAAATACAGTCATGTCTTCCTGATAGTTCCTCAAAATCTTAATAATTCATTCCAGCATTAACTCAAAAGTACAGAGTCCAATGTCTCATCTGAGACAAGGATAGTCCCTTTCCCCTATCAGCCTGTAAAATCAAAAACAAATTGGTTACTTCCAAGATGCAATGGAGGTATGGACTTTGGGTAAACATTCCTATACCCAAATGGAAAAATTGGCCGAAAGAAAGAGCCTACAGGCCCCATGCAAATCTGAAACCCATCAGGGCAGTCATTAAATCTTAGAGCTCCAAAATAATCTCTTTTGACTCTATGTCTTACATCTAGGGCACACTGGTGCAAGAGGTGGACTCCCAAAACCTTGGGCAGCTCCACCCTGTGACTTTGCAGGGTTTAGTCCCTGTGGCTGCTCTCATGGCCTGACATTGAGTGCCTGCATCTTTTCCAGGTGTAGGGTACAAGCTGCTGGTGTATCTACCATTCTGGGGTCTGGAGGATGGTGGCCTTCATCTCACTCCACTAGGCAGTACCCCAGTGAGAATTCTGTGTGGTAACTCCAGCCCCACATATCCCCTCCACACTACCCTAGTAGAGATTCTCCATGAAGGCTCTGCCCCTGCAGCAGGCTTCTGCCTGTACATCCAGGCTATTCCATACATTCTCTGAAATCTAGGCAGAGGCTCCCAAGCCTCAACTCTCAACTCTGTGCACCCGCAGGCTTAACATGACATAGAAGCTGCCTAGGCTTAACGCGTGCACCTTCTGAAGCAGTGGCCTGAACTGTACCTGGGCCCCTTCCAGCCACAGCTAGAGCTGAAGACTGGAATGCAAAAAGCAGTGTTTTAAGACCATACACTACTGGGCTCTGGGCTGGCCCAGGAAACCATTTCTCCCCGCTAGGTATCTAGGCCTGTGATGGGAGAGGCTGCCACAAAATCCTCTGAAATGCCTTCGAGGTGTTTTCCCTATTGTCTTGGCTATCGGCATTTGTGTTCCTTTTAGTTATGCAAATTTCTGCAGGCTGATTGAATTCCTCCCCTGAATATGGGCTTTTGTTTTCTACCACATGGCTGGGCTGCAAATTTTCCAAACTTGTACGCTCTGCTTCCCTTTAAATATAAGTTCCAGTTTCATATCATTTCTTTGCTCACACATACGAACATAGGTATCAGAAGCAGGCTACTTCTTGAACACTTTACTGCTTAGAAATATATTCTGCCAGATAAGCTAAATCATTGTCAAGTTCAAAATTTCACAGATCCCTAGGGCAGGGGCACAATGCAGCCAGGTGCTTTGCTAATGCATAACAAAACTGACCTTTACTCCAGTTTCCAATAAGTTCCTCATCTCATCCAAGACCTCCTCAACCTGGACTTCATTGTCCATATTATTATCACCATTTTGGTCACAACATTTTAACAAACCCCTAGGAAGATCCAAATTTTCCCTCATCTTCTTGTCTTCTTCTGAGCCCAGCACACTCTTCCAGCTCATGCCCAGTTCCAAAGCCACTTCCACATTTTCAGTTATCTTTATAGCAATGCCTCACTTCTACCAATTTTTTGTATTAGTCCATTCTCACACTACTGTAAAGAACTACCTGAGACTTGGTAATTTATAAAGAAGAGGTTTAATTGGTTCATTGTTCCACAGACTGTACAGAAAGCGTGGCAGCACCTCCTCAGTTTCTGGGGAGGCCTCAGGAAACTTACAATCATGGTGGAAGGCAAAGGGGAAGCTGGCACTTCACATAGCCAGGTGCAGGAGGAAGAGAGAGAGGTGGGAAGTGCCACACACTTTTAAACAACCTAATCTTGTGAGAATCCTATCATGAGAAAAGCACCAAAGGGGGAAATCCACCCTCATGATCCGGTCACCTCCCACCAGGCCCCACCTCCAACCCTGGAGATTACAATTTGATATGAGATTTGGGCAGGGACACAGATCCAAACCATATCAAATGTCATGGTACAAATTCATGTAATCAGTAGTTTATATCTGAGGAATAACTTTTTAAAAAAATTGTAATAGACTATTTTTTTAGAGCAGTTTTAGGTTCATCACAAAATTGAGTAGAAAGTTCCCATATATTTGCCCTCCTACAACACACATGCACACACGACCCCCCATTATCAACATCCCCTACCAAAGTGGTACATTCGTTACAATCCATGAACACACATTGACAAATTATTATCACTCATAGTCCATAGCTTACATTAGGATTCACTCTTTGTGTTGTACATTCTATTGTTTGAATAAGTGTGTAATGACATGTATCCACCATTAAAGTATACAGAGTAGACTCACTGCCCTAAGAATCCTCTGTGATCTGCCTAGTCATCACTGGGAGGGTCATAAGCCTCTGGCAACCACTGATCTTTTTCCTGTCTCCATAGTTTTACATCTTCCAGAATATCATATAGTTGGAATTATACAGCATGCAGCCTTTCCAGATTGGCTTCTTTCACTTAGTGATATGTATTTAAGTGTCCTCTATGTCTTTTCATGGTTTGATAGCTTATTTCTTTTTACTGTTGAATAATATTCCACTGTCTGGCTCAGAATTTATTTTTGCTTTCTCAGATCAAGAGGGATGTTTAAAATACCCAACACTGTCCTAGACACTGAAAATAAAAACAAAAATGGCACGTCTCCAGGCCTCAAACCACTTTAAATCTAGTCAAAGATTATAAATCGGGGTGGTAAGTATTCTATTATTTATCATATGGGTTCAATTTATATGAGAGAACTGACATTGATAGGGCTTCTATAGTAAGTTTATTTCTCTCTCTTTTGAGACAGGGTCTTGCTCTGTTGCTCAGGCTTGAGTGCAGTGACGTGATCTCAGCTCACTGCAACCTCTGCCTCCCAGACTCAAGTGATTCCCCCCATCTCAACCTCCTAAGAAGTTGGGACTACAGGCCTGAACAAACACACCTGGCTTATTATTATTATTATTATTATTATTATTATTATTATTATCATCATCATCTGTAGAGACGGGATTTTGCCATGTTGCCTAGGCTGGTCTCAAACTTCTGAGCTCAAGTAATCCACCCACCTCAGCCTCCCAAAGTTCTGGGATTACAGGCATGAGCCACTGCACCTGGCTAGTTTGTTTCTCTTTCACTTAAGTATCTGAGCTGACATGGTGGCTCTCCTTTGCAAGTCATTGAGGGCTCCCATCCCTTTTCTACATCCAGCCAACCTAATTTCCCAAACTGTATTATGTCCACCTCTTTCTGTACATCTCTGTAAAATTAGCCTGGGTGTCTTAGTCCATTTTGTGTTGCTATATTATTTGAGATAAGGTAATTGACAAAGAGCAAAGATGTATTTCTTACACTTCTG